TGCTCCGTTTACCTCCATACCATTGCGAGCTCAATCCCATTGAGCTCATATGGGCAGAGGTTAAAAATTATATAGCTAAGCACAATACAACTTTTAAATTTTGTGACCTCAAAGGACTTTTCAAAGAAGCACTAGAAATAATAACAGCGCAAAAATGGGAAAACTGTATTGAGCACGTGAAAGACAAAGTTGAAAAGAGGATGTGGGAACTGGACAATATTTTAGAGGAACAAGTCGAGCCATTCATTATTGACGTTGGTGCTTCAGGCAGTAGCGATGATGAAAGCTCATCAAGCTCATCAAGCTCATCTTTCCAATAAAAGATGTCGTTCATCAAATTCGGTAAGTTATAAGTAATTACAAAGCTACTGTATTTTTTAATTAATTATTGACATTTTTGAACCCATTTTGGCAAAACCTATTCAAGAATCTACTTTCTGACAATGTTCAACCATCCACATTTTTTTACGTTTTGAACGTTTTAATTTGGTTACATATTTACCTAGAAATCAAAAAATATACTAATCAATATTCTAAAAGCAATTTTAAGAGATATACGATTATTTTTAATTTAGGCTAATTTAAACGCCATTTTGAGATTATATTCGACTGTATTTCACCAAACATCAGGCGGCATCCGAAGCTGGAAATCGAAGCGAAAATTTTGAAACCCTTATGTATATTTACATCATTATATATTTCTTACCCCACCCCCACATGATCCTATATCCATCACCAATCGTATACACATCGAATTGTGCTAATTTACTACAAAGTTACGCAAAGCAGCATCTACTATCTAAAATATGTACTGCGTGACTCTTAATACGTCCCTGCCGAATGTTACAGCGTTCGATGATCACGTGGTCTTGTTTATGTCCGGTCTATCTCTTATCTGAATATACTGTAGTCTTGATGCGCCAACCAATAATTTATAGCCGTATCGTATAGGTTTTCCGTGAATGAACTGTTTGCATGAGTGTCTCCCGAAATAAGGAACCATTGCCTCATCTACACTATGCATATCTGTCAAAATTCCATGTTCCATAAATTTTTAATTCAGGCTCGCAAATAAAGATCTAACTTTTAAAAACTTATCTCCTTGCTGTAAATAGTAGTTATCTACTAAATGGAAATTTGACATAATATACTCAAATTTATCTCGTGTAAGCGCTTCTGTGACGAGTTGATTATTAGCATCTCTTTCACGTTCCGAGAACATTCTTCTACGAGGTACATCGACATAACCACTCAATATTAGTATTCCAATAAATGCCCTTATTTCATACTCTTGCACCTCTTGTTGGCGATTCGTTTGCCTGGCATATCTATTTGTTTAAGTTGTTATGCGTGTTATAAGTTCGCCGTAAAAAAAAAGTGAAAACCATTCAAGTGGAAAATTATTTTCTTCAAGAATTTCTTCGAAGTTTCCTGGAACTTCTTGTGGTAGATCCTCCTTCACCTATTTATACGTTTTTCGTTTCTTTAGCTTTTTATTTTTTATTTTTTTAGCCAATTCAGACAATGGAATATTATCTTCGGAATCAGATGAAGATATGCAAAATTTTTCATGAGGTATTGTTATCTCACCAGGTACTTGTAATTGCGAACCCAGTAGATACTACATATTCATTATCCGCCAGCATAGCAAGGGCTGCCTCCAGAGAAGAGCCCCTAAAAATGAAACAGGGATGTATTTTCCTGGCGTACAATATTTTGCACACTCAAATATAATGACGCAATTGTGAATCCGAAATAATAACATAAGTAATTTGGCATTATAACTGGAAAAAAGCATGTGTGTTTTAAGGTAGAAGCAATCAAAACATTTTTTTTTATTTACGTAAAGACCATATATTTACTTACTTGGCAAATCGTATTCCATATTCAGCCATGTCACAAAAAATAAAAACTTCTTCACAAAATCGCAAAAAAATCTCAATACAACGATAACACCCAACCGCACGTTGCGATTTACTAAGGCTTACCGAATAAAGCATCCCACAAACCGGCGCGAAATAATCACGGCGAAGTATTCGCAACGAAATTCAGAGCGAAATTCGCAATCTGTTTCGCCTGTTTATTCATACCAAAGCGTCTTATTCGCTCCGCGAACGTGAAGGTTTCGACAGGTTGCGTACATTTTATTTTTGCCTTTTGCAATGAGCTCGTCTTCAGAAGAAGAGGAGGCACTTCTATTTCTTGCTTTAGAAGAGGAACAAAATGCACGGTAAGTTATGTTTATTTAACGCGATTTGATAGTTGGGTATGTATTAAGTTTAACGAAGTACATAAAACAAATATTTTCAATTTTGTTTAGGAAACGAAGGAAGTGGGTACATGATATTAACTTGGAACGAAATAAATTTGCGGAATACCATACCTTGATGCCACAACTTCGGCTGGATGAACAGCGCTTTTACGTATATTTTAGAATGACTCCAGAGTGTTTCGATGAAATATTGAACTTGGTGAAAGATGAAATACGAAAATCTGACACAAATTATCGTGAAGCTATTTCGCCAGAAGAACGACTTGCTATTACACTCAGGTAAAAAAATTATATGTATTAAAATTAGTAGGCTTATCGAATACGAAAACTTCAGGGATCGTGAAATAAATATTTTATTGTAATAATTGGACTACATGTTGCCACTAGGATTAAATGTTGCTAAATAATTCGAGGCAGAATTTGCCTCCTCTGTTGGGTATATTATTGGAGTAAACCCAGTGCCGCTTGGGAAGGACGACATACTACTATCATACATACTTGCAGAATTCTGGGTAGACGCTGAAGACATTTCTTCAATATGTTCAAATTCTTCGTGCGCTATTAATTCGGCTATTTTTAGTTTTATTCGGGCTTGACCCTTTAAGGGAAGTGTTTTCACAGTCTGTGCATGTGCCAAGAAAAGTGAATCAATGGCCTCGTTCTCTTTTTTAGGTTTTTTACCAAAATAATTAATGCGCTGTTGTACAGACGAAGATGGTGGTTCATAGCGTTTTCTGCTCGTTTTATATTCTGGTGTAGTTGCAGTCTGCGGAAAGGTGTGCCCTGGAGTAGTCACTGCTGTAGTGTTCAATGAAGAAGGTGGTGCTGTCTGCGTTGCCGAGGCGTTCTGTGCATCTTCTGCATCTACATCAGCATTTTCATCTTCTCCATGGCCGCGGTCTTCCAAATTTTCGGTTTCTACATTTCCAGCCCTTTCCTGATATATATTTGAGTTAAATTCGGCAGTCTCATAATGTATGACGTCAATATCTTTCACATTAGACGACGTTTTGGCAAATGCCAAAAAAAGACGGAAAAATTCCATGTAGTCAGCCCACTGCCATTTCTTTATGTTGCCCACTGCTTGGCCGGTCTTTGGTTTGGTAGATTTTATATATTTTGCAAATGTGTCTCTGATATTCTTCCACCTTTTTTTACTTCATCACCTAAAAACGTTTTTTTTTAAAGATTCCTTGCCACTGGTGACACCTTCTATACCGCTGGGCATAGCTTTCGAGTTGGCTTTACAACAGTGAGTGCAATCGTAACCGAAGCGATATGCAGACATAATGGAACATATATATTTACCAGAACCAACAGAGAATATATGGAAAAAATGTGCTGAAGAATTTGAAAATAGATGGGGATTTCCCAATTGCATTGGCAGCGTGGACGGTAAACATGTAACAATCAAGAGACCTAACAACAGTGGCTCCAATTACTGGTGCTATTTACATAAATATTCAATAGTACTTATGGCCATTGTTGGCCCGGACTATAAATTTATATGTGTTGATATTGGTGGTTTCGGAAAAAATAGTGATGGGGGTATTTTCGAAACCTCAAACATGGGAAAACGATTTGAACAAAATTTAATGAGTGTCCCTGCACCTAGATTTCTCCCTGGGCAAAATGAAATCTGCTCGTACGTCTTAATTGGTGATGAAGCATTTGCTTTAAAACCATACCTTATGAGACCATTTCCTTATAAGCAGACTTTAACAGACGTCAGAAAAGAGAAATACAATGTAAGACTTTGTCGAGCTAGAAGGGTCGTGGAAAATGCGTTTGGTATTTTGTCTCAAAAATGGCGAATATTTTACAGGCCATTAGAAACTAAAGTAGATACTACTATTCTAATTGTACGTACGTGTTTTACACAATTTTTTACGAAGTAAAAGTGGCGATGACAAATATTTCCCTGGAGCTTTTACTGATATAGCAAATGATCCTCGGCGGGCAGCAAGGCTACCATTTTCTACTCGTGACAAATTCGTAAATTATTTTAATTCTGATATGCCTATGCCCAATATATAGAATGTTCGTTTTCACATTTGTGTAGACTGTAAATTATTTAACAAGTTAATAAAAAATATTAGGTACATACCATTTGTATTTAATTCTTTTCCTATTTCCATCCAAATCTTCTCTTTCTTTCTCACATTCCTGTATTCATCGTTCGACAAATCATACAAACAAGGATACTTTTTCACTATTTCTATCAATAATTCCGTTTTTGCCATTGCGAATTTTTGAAGAACAGCGTCAAAAACGCGGTCAAAGGCGAACTGCAATACGCCGCGATAAAAACGCTGGAACAATCGCATTCGCTTCGCACAAGTCTGAGCCTGTCCGTAAACCGCCGCGTTTTAATCTGATCGCGAATTCATCGCCGCGAAATTTTCGCAGCCAAAGCGAATATTTCGCGTCGGTTTGTGGGATGCTTACATCTGTGCTATTACCGCGTCAAAATAAGCACAGGTCATTGCAAGTCGCGACTTGTTTACGGTGTACCATAAATTGTACGCTAGGCATACCTGGGTTAAAAATGTAATAAGTTTTATAAATGTCGATAAATCATGGTTCCTACCTTGGATAAATTCTGTGCACGTCTGAGGGCATATTTTTCTCACATCTGCTACAAAAGCTACATTCTATTCTTGAAAACGAGGGAGGAAAATTACCAAGAGGAGGTGCAGAAGCCTCGCCGTCGATCAACAGTCCCATCTTTAAAGACGAAGCCAACTTTCTGATGCAGCGTATGATGAACCCAAACTGTCACTTCGATGTTAGTTTGAAGGTTGAAACATGAACTGAAAATTCAAGATGACAGAAAAAGCATTTATATCAAAATTTCGTTGTAACACCAAGCAAATGGAAAATCAACCAAAAAGGACAGTAATCATACCCAAAGGACTTTTAAATCCCGAAGGTGAAACAGCGATCAACATACCAAAAAATCTCACGCCAGATGTACCATTTTTTATGGTTCCTGCAAAGAAAGGTATCACGGCACGAGTACTACCATCATTCGGTGATGAGCTATCTACAACGTATTACAAGAAGGCAAGCAAAGGCACCTGGACAAATACAGAAGCCGGAAGAAAAAGGAGAATAATGGTCTTGAAAAATGCCCTGGATCCTGATAGAGATAACGTGATATACATACCTAAGAATACAAATCCAAACGCGCTATTGCTGGTAGGTCCTCCAAAACTTCCAGGAGGCCCGTTGGTTGCTCAAGTACTACCTGACTTCAGAGATCGTTTATCAAGTGGCGTTATACCTCGAGATCTGACTGCGATTCCCCAAAAATGTCATTTTGATTACAAAAAGAAGACACAGAAAGAGACAGAACCAGGAGAAAAGCTCGCAAAAAGCGTCGCAAGTGGAAACGCTGTATTGGAAGATGGCCAAGGAGAAGAAGGCGAAGAGATGCCGCAGGAAGAACGCCATCCGGCAAGCATCGAATATTATGAGGATGATATATACGCACATAACTATGATTCTACTCAATCTGATTGCCCTGTTATTCAAGCAGCAATGCACCGAGTTTATGACCAATCTGGACATCCACAATCTCAGCAGCAGGAGTACCAATATTATACCCAAGGTCCAGGATATCAGCACTATGAACAGGGATTCAATTCCACAACATCCTGCAGGCTAAGACAAGGTACTGATATGATTGGTTCTTCCATTCAAATGCCTAATGAAACTAACAAGAATGTATCTAATACAAATATGTCATGCTTAGCACAAAAACAAAAGCAGTATTATGAAGAAACTGGGGAAGAACAAGACGGATCCGAAGAAGACGATGAGGAAGACGAAGATGAAGATGCTGGTGGTTACTATGAATGCTGTGCTGAGCAAGATTATGACAACAGAATCTGCTCGGGAGTACCAGCTCCTGGAGAACCACGATTCTATTATTAACTGATTAGAAGCTTGCAGGGTGTAGGAAGAAGTATATTCCAGAGACTGGTTGAAGACAATGTACAGTAGATTATTGTAACTTTTTCAGAAAAAATAAATCTCGTTGGACACAAACGTTTGAGTCAGAACTTCTGGCACGTTTCTCGTCAAAGGGCCATGAGATGTTTCCAAGGCATTCCTGCCTTCACTTCTTGTCTCACTGCCAGTGTTGATATGACCATTCATCGTGATCATCAAAAATATGAAATAATTTGCAAAATATATCACGCCAAGTTAGCGTTTCTCAATCTGTCGGGCGCGCCCAATAGGGGGCGTGTCAATATTAAAGAGGCGCGCGAGCATATCAGGAAAAAACACTAACAACATTAAATAATTTACGAAAAAGAAAGAAAAACAAAATCTTGACATAACCAAAAAATAAAATACACATTAACACTTATACAGGGTGGCGCACCGAATCGAAACAGACGCATTTACAGGCAGCTCAGTTTTTTTTTTTGGAAAAACGCTCAGTCCCGTCGATTTTGTTTTCGAGGGGGACACAAGTTTGGCAAAAAATCACGTTACCACGTGCAGCCCCCTAAAATCTTAAATGGAAAGGGGGGTCGAGTTTAAACGTCTTTCAAGTCCTTTTATACGAGGGATATCTTTTAAGTTTTGCATATAGAAACACAGTAGGCCGCGTGGATCGAACGTCAGTACTGAATCTTAACCTGACTCTTTAGTAAATTTAAACTTAAAGTTTCACAACAATACATGCACTGATCTCACTACACTGAATTTTTAAGTGTCACCAAATCATTAGAAAAATGGAACTCAACCGAGAACATTTTCGCGCCATAATTTATTACAACTTTCAGAGACAATTATCGCAACAAGGATGCCTTGCTGAGTTACTGTCTGTTTTCGGCAACGAAGCGCCGCATCAGTCGACAATTTCCCGTTGGTATGGAGAATTCACACGTGGACGGGTGAGTCTTAGCGAAGATCCCAGGGTGGGCGCACCAAAAACGGCAGTCACCCAGGAAAACGTCGTTGCTGTGCGCAAACTCATCATTGAAGATAGACATGTGACATATCGCGAGATTGAGGCGTCCTTGAAGATCTCAGAGACCTCAATTAAAAAAAATTTACATGAAGAATTAGGAGTAAGAAAATTAGTTTCTCGTTGAATATCTCACCCGTTGACTGAAGAGCGGAAAGCAGACAGGGTTAATTATTGGTGTCAAAAAACGCTTGACCGTTCCAATTTCGGAAACTCAAAAAATGTGAACAGCATTGTCAGTGGTGATGAATCGTGGATTCACTGTTATGAACCAGGAAATAAACGACAGTCGGCTGTTTGGGTGTTCCAAGGTGAAGAAAAGCTAACAAAAGTCAACCGTTCTCGAAGTGTTTCGAAAAAGATGGTCGCGACATTTGTGTCAAAAAACGGTCATATTGCAACAACTCCTCTTAATGAGCAAAGAGCTGTTACTGGGGATTGGTATACCACCATTTGTTTGCCAAAAGTCATCACCGAGCTTCGAAAAATCAACCCCGAAAGAAGAATCATCCTCCACCAAGACAATGCAAGCTCGCACACAGCCCAAAAAACAAGGCAGTACCTATTTAATGGAAGAAAACGTGGAATTATTGGACCATCCTCCATATAGTGCCGATCTAAGTACTAACGATTTCTTTACTTTCCCGAAAATTAAAAACAGACTGCGTGGTCAAAGGTTCCAGTCACCAGAAGAAGCACGTGACGCATCCAAAAATGCCGTTTTGGATCTGCCAGCAAATGGGTGGAATAAGTGCTTCGAAAATTGGTTCGAGTGCATGCATATTTATTTAAAATTACCTACCGTGTTGTTTTATTTCCATATGCAAAACTTAAGAGACATCCCTCGTAATATAAAGAGTTAGCGTGCAAACCTTTGCAAAACTCGTAAGAAAATAATGAAAAACTATTTCTGATACCTCCACAACACGTACGCGCACTTATGGTTTTGGATGAACTATCACGGGGTCGCACGCGGGAAGCCTGGAAAACCTATTATCACCATCTCTTGTCGGTTTTTAGAAAAAAGGATTACTCTTTTTACCCACTCTATGCTTCTTGCCCGGATTTCCCCTAGATATCTTAGCTATTTTGCGAAATTTCGAGATAAAATCTTAAAACTTGTAAATGTATGCTCAAAATTATAGCACTCCTAGTCGGTCTTGAATTTTCTATGTCATTTAGTATATTAATGCCGGTACTCATTGAAAGAGTAAATGTGTACTACCTGAGAGGTCGCCACGGTCCACGATATCCATCGCTGACTCCTGGTGGCGGCTGGTGGGGCGTGGCCTCGAGACCGCTAACCCCGCGGTGACCACGGCTCACGTCCAGCCTCCACTAGTTTCGGACTTGTAGATGGCGCCGGTGACAGGCTGTTGAAGCTGTTGCGGTGTGGCTACCGGACTTTGATCCGGGTACGGGATTATAAGGTGTGAAGGTGACGCGAGTGATACTTTGATGCTATACGGAATGGACTTCCACTTGCGATGGTATGTACACGCATTTAAGTACTCCATAAACACATGGACTTTGCAGTGGTAGGCGCAATAGCAGAGACATGACTATCAGACTTTAGGAAAACTTGTAACAAATGGTAGTCGCGAAAGTCTTGAACGGGGCAACGGGGAGGGGGCCGCAGAACCCAATAGGTGGGTCAATATAGCTGTCAGATCCTTCTCCTAGGTTAATGATGATTTGCTTCTGTGAGGGTACTTAATACTTACGACCCTTTGATACGCATTAAAATGTCAGGTACCGTTTACCTATCTACCCCACGGTGTACCCTCACGAGAAAGCTTGTATTGCTCTTCTGAGACTTCCAACATGTTTTTGACCTTGGGATAATACTTATATAGCCAAGAGCCCTTTCTCGTCCCCAACTAACAATTTATGTTTTATAAATGTCCTAACAACTTTCACAGAACTATTTTTATAAAGCAACAATGCTACTATATTCATACAAATATAACATTATAATATAATATATCCATATAGCGAAGTATTATTGACAGATCGACATTAATTGCGAGAAAATAATAAATTATGGTTCTGCCTTCGATTCGTGTGTCTAAAATTTCTTAAACGTCAAAACAACAACATAACCTCTAGCCACAACTATCAGCATGCCGGAAATCCAAAGCAGGACATACAAGTACCATTTCGAAGAGGACATGATATTCTCGATATCAAGTAGGCCATAAAAACTTTCTGGAATCAGATTAATAAAAAGTAATATGCTTGAAAATAGCAAATCATGTACTCGTACCTGCTTTAGTACACCATTTTATCAGTTTAACTAATTTAGTTTATTTTTGTAGAAAAAGCAATTAAACATTTCAATAAAACAATTCACTGTTTATTTGAATCGTTACGACTCGGCCTTTCATTCGTGAACGATCGGGGGTATTCGACAAACGCATTTCCATTGACGCGCTTCGAACTCCTCAGTTTCATAAGTGATTTTCGCGATATTCGAATGTCCGATGACACTGGTATGTTTTTTTTTTTATGCTCGATAATGCACGCATTCGTGAACAGATTGACAACTGACACTGTCTCTTCACTAAGAGGATTCCACGAGTATTCCACACGATTTGAAATGAAATTTCACCTTATCAACTTAGATGTTCTCTCTTTTTCTATTTCTTTGGAGGTGAAGATTCTGACTCACATTGAATATTTGAAGGGTACATGAACAGCAGCCACTGATGACCTTGAATGTCTCAACCGCTCGGCGATTGTTGCCAAATTCATGTTATTCATGCGGCGAATGTTGAATCTCTGGTGGAATATGCGTTATTTTATGTTGCAATCTTTCAAGTACATAGCAGGAGAATTGTTTTTAACAGCTTTTTTAATCAACTATATCAGTGATTTGACTTTTTTAATTTTGGTGCTAGTGTGTGCTTCCATACTAAATTATGTGTTATTATAACTCATAGGTCTTTCTGGTACTGCACATTTTCAATTTATACCCGTCCTGTACTGTAGTTCATATGAGGATGAGTTTTCCCAATATGAACTATCGTGCACTTTTCCTCATTGAGTATTGTTTGCCATTTCTTAGACCACTCGTCGATGTCGGGTATGACTTTTTTAATTTCGACCTCTTGTAATGCAGGACTTCTGAATAGTTTGCTATCATCTGCATATGATGATATGTTTGTTTTTATACCCATTGATAGATCTGACGTGTAAACAAGGAATAGAAGAGGTCCAAGCACAGAGCATTGTGGAACACCACACAGCATTGTCTGTGGGACACTTGAGCCTCATTTGCTCTTACTTGGGAGGTTCTGTCCGTAAGAAATAACTCTATCCATCCTAAAACCTTACCTCGTATACCAAAATGCTCAAGTTTATGAATCAAATGATTTGCGGAACTTTATCAAAAGCTTTTTTATACTCAATATACAGGGTGTTTCAGTTTATTGTTGCATAACTTTAAGATTCGATAGAACTTTTAAAATTAATGCATAAAGTCCATATAAACATGGGTCGAAAAATGCATGGCTTCCGAAATACAGGGTGTTCAAATTTACTTTCTAAAATAGTTTTTTTTAAATATTTCGAACAATATTTGATGTATAACAGTGAAAATTAGTATACAAGGGTTTTTGGTACGACAAAACGAACCGCTAGAAGGCGCTCTCCACTGTACCTGTAGTGTATTAAAATGACCGAAAAATTTTTCTTAGTGCAATTTTTTGCTTTTTGAATAAAAAAACTGATTCTTCGCACTTTTCAACATAAAAAAGCTCTCCTGTGAGTTTTCGTTATAGTTAGCCGTTTTTGAGATATTTCGATTTTTAAGGTTCGATGCATTTTTAATTATTTATGGGAAAATAATATTTTTTTTACATTTTCGATTTGGGCATTACAATTAATTAAGATGATCGTATAGATTGTGTTTTTAAACACAGCAATAATTCCTAACTCCAAATAAACACAAAAAAACAGAATATTAATTTGTTTAATTTTCCAATATTATTTTTAATAAATTAAATTAATTATTTACAACTAAAATTGGATAGTTAGGACAAACATACAAAATCTAAAGTAGTTGCTCGAAATGTA